GCTTTATTGTACACATTTAAGTAGCTCAGAAAAACAAACAATTCAAGTAAATATGCGTATAATGGGCGATCTTATCACACAATTGGGATTTCTTCCAGACAACCTTTGGATGGAAATATTTATAAGAAACCAGATATGGGGTAGTTAAGTGTACAATAAAAATACATAAATAACATAAAAAATACAATAAACTATGTGTGTGATATTTAAGTATAATTTAAAATTGAGTATCGTTTCTGTAGGTATGACTGTGTAACAAAGAAAAAATGAATCAGACAAATATTAACGAAACTTAAGCTTTAACTACATACACAAAATAAAACCAATAAATAGATTTACATTTATGTATGTTTTTGTGTCAGGGTGCGGGCGGCGGTGCCGCTGGGCAGGAAGTCGGAGAGCGAGAAGGACAAGTAGGCGGGAGCGAGACGCAGCACGCTCAGTACTTCACTGTTTGTTATATTTATTATTATGTACTATTAAAGATAACTACTTTACGTGTAAAGCTTTATGAGACGAGTCATGCGGAGATTATTGTATTTGCTTTTTGAAATTTTAAATTAAAATAACTGTCGAACCGAGTGTTGTTTTTATTTATATGTATGTGTTATATTTCTGTTACCATTGGTGTTATCCTTCGCATAGCAACCCCATTCAATTTGGAAAAGGATAGGTCACAAAGAATATAAATTTATGAAATACCTACCTAGGTACTTTTCGCCAGTTATGAGCTATTGCCACACACAGGTCTACTCCAGTCCGAATGCCGTTCCTGAGAATTATAAGAAATCGAAAAGCAATTAATGAACCTGAAATCTTTGTGTGTAATTGCTCGATAGTTGCGATTATGACCGAGTAGTAAACGCTGCGGCAATTGGTGGTGTTCTTCATCGCAGTCATTTCATTATTATTTAACTTCAATTCACAAATATTCTTTTTCATCACTACACGTTGTAACATTTCACGCCAGTCTAACAGAACTTTACTTCAAACTAAACGAGAAATAATACTCTGCAGCAACAGCAACTCTTTTAGGGCAATCCCCGTAGAGGCCGTAGATGTAGAACTATCTCTAAAACGACCAATTTGCAACATTTTGTTCGTAACAATGTATGTAAGATATATTGTATCGATCATCCAACTCAACCACATATATTTTTTTTATTTTAATTCTACCTATTGTTTTATAACGTCACTCTTTGTTTACATAGGCGATAAAAATAAAGACATTAATTATTTGCGTTACAAAAGATCATCATGTTTTGCTAATTAAAGCATGAAAATTTTTAACTTTTAATTATAAATATCTTCCTAATATTATAAATACGAAAGTTTGTTGGTTTGTTATTCCTTCGTGTTAAAACGGCTGAAGGGATCTAGATGGAACAGGGGAGGGAGAGGTCTAAAATAACATACCGGTCACTTATTATCTCACGGGAACGCGGGCGAAGCCGCTGGCAGAAGGTAGTTTACCATATTTTTACAAAAAAACACATTTATAAAAGATGTTATCCATACAATGTGGTTTGGTAGTCGAGGTGGATGTTACTCTAAGTTTACATATTAGCAAGAAAAAAATAGACAAATTAAATCATTTGTTATCAAAATTAAAATTACCTTACATGACTGTAGATTTGGTGCTGGAGAATGTAATATTATAATTTTCACAACACATCGTTAGAGTTGGGCTTGAGGGGCTTTTTTTTTAAGGAGGGAAAATCATCGAACGACTGCTCCCGCCTGGGTGAGGCGGGACGGAGTGTCAGACTCTTACTGACTAAAAACCACCCCGTTCCTTCTCCTGCACGGCGAGCCGGAGCCCCGGTTACCCGTTAGGTTCTCCGCGACTAGGCTTGAGGGGCTAGGTTATTATCACTGAAACACAGATATCAGTCACCAAAAGTTACACCTTTAATAGATTTCCATTCATTTTTGTAATGAAGTGAAAGATCCTGAGGGTAAAATCAAATAACACTCAGACCATTTTAGTAGGTATCCGATCTTTACTTAGTAGAGTTATATGTCTAATTTATGGTCACTCAGTCTATGGTCACTACCACCTGATACTGACATTTGTCAGTGTCAATGTCATTATAACTCAAAGTCAAAGTCCACTTTAATTCCAATAAGTGTTTGCTCAACCCGCAATGTAAATAATTTTCAAATGTAAAATATATTTTTGTGAAATCTAACGTAATTTTTTTTATAACTGTATATTTTTTTGTTATTTTATTTTTTGTTAGTGTTTTATCATAAGTTGAAGTTTTTAAAAATCAGTTTCTTGCTCACAATATCAAGTTAGTAAGCTGTAAGGCCAAGACCATGTGAAAGCGAATGATGTAAGGAAACACGTAATATTGAAACATTGGAAATAAGTTTGGACTGCGCTGTGGTACAGATCGTACTCTAAATACTAAAATAACTGCGGCATGGCAAGCAGCACAAGGTTTGTAAACATTAATATTGAATACAGTCGTGCTGGAGGTAGAGATGAGCAGTGAGTGTGTCAGTGAATACTGGACAGTGTAGCGATTACTGACAGACAGTAGCACCTCATCTCTTAGACATTGGTGTTGTTTGTGTGAAGTATATTATGTGAGCTTTCTTATTTTTATTAGTTGTATGTCCTATGTTACACAATATTTTTATTCAATTTCTCTAATGTTATATCTACATACCTGTATTCCGTTTTCATTGTATCTACTTGATACTTGAGTTACTAGAGTTACTTTTACCTATTTATTGTTGAATGTGACCATTTGCCTAAAAAAAAATCCTTTTTGCATAAAAATGTTATATTTAAAAAAAAAGTATAATGTTATTATAAAGATATAATTAACCCATTGAAAATTCTGTATTCTTTAAATTTAGGTGATGATTTTCAACAATTTTCAAGGGGTAATGTTATGGAATGTTAGGAATGTAATATAGTAAATATTATGTTTATTATTATGGATTGGCATATTAATCATCTTAGTATAAAAATATTACAGCAAAGTAGTGAAGCCATAAAAAAGTTGGAACAAGAAAAAAAATAGGTATGCATTTAAAAATTAATCTTCTCTAAATACCTAAATTCTGTGGCAAGTAGAAGTAGTTACCACATCTGTCTACATGTTTTATACCTAGTAGACAGTAGTGTCTACTGTAAGTGTAGACTTACACTTAGCAAGTAAGCCTTAGAGTTGTCATTGGTTTGGTTTTGGAGTTCAAGTCTTGTGGTTTCCAGGTGACAAGTGTATATCTTCTGTATAACATGAGGGGATAATGCCAGCTTCCTTTGCACAGTATGTAGCTCCTTCATTCTCTACTTTAACTAACTACTCACTTAATTTTATGGGTCGCTTTCAATTAATTCCACTCAACAGGTACATTGGTTGGCTTCCAAACTAATAACGATTCTGTTGTATTGTTTGGCTGTGTGGCAATTTACTTTAATTTAGAAATAGCAAAGAGACTCGCAATTCTGTTCGTTTAACATAACTATGTCTCATAATTTTTGTTATTTCAAAAACAACTACTAATACTAGTAGTTCCACAAATTTAATTATTTAGGTATAACCATTAACAAGTCTCCTTGATCAGAAAATAAATATTATGTATTATAACAAAAAGTTGCCTGGGGTTTTCCATTTGTGGTTTGTCTTGTTTTACCTCAAAATAATTAACCATCGAGAGCAATAACATCCTGTACAACAGCTTGTGTGCTACTCACATCACTGGACTGTGTCACTATGGATTCAATACTAATTATTGTGTTTGAGCTGAGCATTATGTCATTATGTTGGTTTGCTTTTCATCCATGAAGGCTACAAAATAAATCTCATCTGTTACGAAACAAAATTAAATATCTTGCGACTTATCTTTTACTCAGCCATGAACAACTTGAGAGTTGCAACATTATTAACTACATTAAATGAAATAAGAACACAGGCCTATCTGTCTGGCTGTTTATATGCTTTGCCTTGACTAAATCTCTACGAGAATTTGATAAGGCAAGGGATATACTGTATTTATCTTGAAACACAAATACCACTTGTAAAATATTTTGAGATATATTTTGTAGCAGTGGCGCCACAGTCAGACAGCGTAGTGAATAGACTGGCAGCTGTTTGAAGGTGAGTGCCATGCATAGCACAACTGTCATCAGATATCCTGTACCTGTGCAACTGTCCTTGACCGACACTTGCAGTAAATTATAATGATTGAGACATTGAGAAGCCCAGAGACATATCTGACGACAGTTGACTTGGTTTATGTTCTGCTTGACCCATTCCATGGCACTTGTGGCAGCTAGGGGCGCGCGGCTGTGGTGAGGCGGGCACAATGCTCGCGCGCCGCGCTCCGCCGCCGCGCCCGCTCCGCCGCGGCCCTGCGCCGCCGCCGGTAGGTAGCTACTCGCCGCCCGCTAATACCTGTGTACACTGTGTATCAACAAGTAGAGCACTCTGAACAAATACTCTGCAGTAATCTCCACCAGCAGCTTCCCGGCTCCTGACACCAATCTTGTCGTATTTACTCATGTAGACGCGACACATGTGACATGTTGGACCAAATACCACATACTATTCGCTCTTCATTCTCCGAAGCGTTGTTACTGTAGATGGTTGTGTCAGAATTAATTAAAACTCTATATGACGTGTTCGTCATTGGTTTGTCTGTACCGCACGTCAAGTCATCACGGCACTACTGAGCACTAAAGCATTTTCTTGTCCAATTAATTGTCAATTAAATAGTAATTGATCAGAACAAGTCTGTGGAGGATCGTGGTGGAGATGTAAGTGTTCCTAGTGGGTCACTGTGTGTGTGGGTGGTAGGGTGGTGGTCCAGTGCCGCGCGGCCGTGCCGCCGCCGCCTGCCGCGCTGCCGAGACGTGCCCACTGTGCCCGCGGTGCCCAGCCTCCGTACTGCACCTCGGTGTTACTAACAAACCACTAATATCATTTTCATTGAAATGGAGGACGGGTATGTTTTAATTAAGCATTGTTTTATTATCTCGGTAATTAAATAAATAACTAAATTCATTGTTACGTCGAGTCTTATATCCATTAGTGTTTCACCGTTTTATTTTGTTAGAAACTGGTTGCGATTAAAAAGTTGAGCTTCACAGACCTCCTTTATTATCTAATTTAAGTATTTTGCATTTACAATTGGTAATTTAATTATTTCTGTAGTGAAATAATTCGGATGTAGTGAAACAGGTGCTTTGTAAAATTGTTATAAACCTTGAAATTATTCATTATTTGAAGTAAAGTCAAATACTGTGTTTATATACTTTAAAAGAAATATTATGCCACTACAAGAAGCAGTTGATGTGTTAAATTGTATAAATAATTTAGTTAATCTAATCGCAGCTGCTATGCAAATGCATCGTCACGGTTGGGTTCAGATTTCACGTGGAACGGATCCATAATCTTTAATGTAATTTTAATTAATGAATAATGCGGTGTAATCAAATGTGAAGCGAATCAGTGGCTGCGGCAGTGAGTGGGTCCAGGCAGTACTTAACTTACATAATGATGTACACTGCGGCCATCACACCAACCTACTCCTATCCCACATTTTTTCACGTTCGACTTCTTTACAAAACATTATAGTTGAATGTCCCTAATTCTCTATCAGTGTGCATTGCACCTTTGTTATCACTAGATTATTTCTAATTAATGACAGTTAATGAAGGAGGACTAGTGAGCACTCGAATTTCCCTATTTCCTCATTTACCCGACTGTAGGAACGGTATTTTAATATAAAAGTAACAAACAATGTACCTATACAAATGTACACTGATATTCAAACTTAGTTTAGCTAGTAGACTAGCTCCTGGGCGCTAACTCGGCTAACAGGAAACTAAACTGATATAGTATTGTTCCCGATAAGTGAAAACGTACTAAGTGTTTAGTTTGTTCGTAGTCGTGACCGTGACCTTAATGATTTGTTGTGTACGTCGCGCTAGCGCGTATTATCATTACACACAAGCAGACAGTATGTACACTGGTCTCTTACTGAACTCCGCAAATAACTTACTGAATACATTGGAGTGCAGCAATATATGCGTACGCCGCGGTCGCCTCCGCGGCTCCGCCCCGTGCTGTCCATTGAGTGTCCAGTCGCGCACTGCTCTCCGTCAGCGACACGTCTGTCTCCCTGACCGATACAAACACCACTTGTAGCACAATCTGCTGTTGCGTCCAATCAATCGTTATCAATAAAATTATTGCTGTCTCAATATTTCGATACTTTATCGGATTTCAACCAGTCAACAACTCTAGTACTAACACTCGGTTCTTCCTCCACTCCACGGTATGTACCTATCGCTTGTTACCTAAGTAGGATAATGTAGTGATTGTTGATTATATTCTGCTGCATATCTGTACTCCACCTTGTGATACTTATATTTTAGACAACAGCTGCATTGAAATAGGATCCCAGTCGCCCATATTTACAATGTTGTTCGAATATATTCTCTTTAGACTATAAAGATTAAATTCTAAATAAACATAAATGGTTTCGTTTTATTTGTAGTGAACATTAAAGTTACGAGAATCGTGCAATCATGCTAAATTATTACCTGATTGTACTTATCTACCAGTAGACATAAATACAAAGCGTCACAAGCGATTGAGACGTGTTAGTAGTTAGTCACCGAGTGCGCGTTGTGCTGCAGGTTGAACGAGGAGAAAGAGAGTTCGCCGTGTTTGGAACGAGAGGAACGAGCGCCTGTCAACATGTGGGGAGCGCAGCGCCGGGTGGCGCTCGACGTGCTCATGGCGTGCTGGGGGCTCGGCACGTGGCTCGGGGTCAACGGCCTCTACGTGCAACTGCCGCTGCTGGTGGACCGCCTGCCCGAGGGCTGGGCGCTGCCCTCCTCCATGGTGATGGCCGTGCAGCTCGCCAACAGCGGGCTGCTGATATACGCGGTGTTGCGACGTCTGCTGCCGCGCGTGTCCGACGCATATTACATCTCGGGACTGCTCGTCATCGGCACGCTGGCGCTCGTACTGAACGCCTTCCTCTACGAGCACACAGCTGTGATAGGCTCCGAAGAACGGTCGATTGCGTATTTGGCGTTGACTTTCTTCGCAGCGTTGGTGGGCTGCACCAGCTCCGTGTTGTTCTACCCGTACTTAAGACATTTCCGTGATGTGTACCTAGCGACGTACTTAGTGGGTGAGGGTCTGAGCGGGTTCGTGCCGAGCCTCCTGGCGCTGGTGCAGGGCGTGGGCGGTGCACCTGAGTGCTTGCCCAACGAGGATAACACGAAGCTGGAGCCCCACTATCCACCTGCACGATTCGACACCACTGTGTTCCTAGTGCTGCTTGGCGGGCTGTCGGCTGCCAGCCTGGCCAGCTTCACTGTCATCAACAACTACAAGGGCTTCCAGTCGGAGCGAGTAGCACCGGCGGCGGCGGCCAAGGATGACGAGGCGACGTCGGAACGGCCTTCGCTGCTGGTGCCGCGCTGGATGGGCGTAATGGCGCTGATGGCGGTACTGAACGCACTGAACAACGGCGTGATGCCGTCGGTGCAGTCTTACTCGTGCATGCCGTACGGCACGCGCGCGTACCACCTGGCAGTGACGCTGAGCGCGATGGCCAACCCGGCGGCGTGCCTGGCGGGCGTGTGGCTGCGGCCGGTGTCGGCGCGCGCGCTGGCCGCCATGTTGGTGTCCGCCTGCGTTCCCTTCGCGTATCTCCTGGCCACGGCGCTGCTCAGTCCTGCGCCGCCGCTGCAGTATAGCGCGGGCGGGGAAGTTCTCATCGTGAGTGTTTCATACCATTTGTTATTATAATCGTGAACACCGAATACATAGAGTAAAATAATAAAAAATAACGCGAAGTTAGCATGTTTCATACATCTGGTGATTTCACCAAATATTTTTATTCAAGATTTTGTTTGAAACGATAACGGTTTATCTCTTACGTTGCATGGGTTATCAAACAAATTACATAAAAAATATCTTAATTGTCACAAATGAGTGCGACACGCGAGTGTGATGTATAATGTTGCTGTCAAAACTACGAACCAGTCTAAAGTTCTTACAACTAGTTAAACCAGTCAAGTGTTAATTTTAATCGTTCCGCAGGAGTATCAAACTAATACTAAAGTATAAAGTCGACGGAGTGATGTCGTGTTGATTCCTATTTCTGTCAGCCGTGTTCATAGTTTAAAGTTTAAAGTATCCTAACCACGGCCCTCATGGTGCCCCTCAATTCTTCCTAGTTTAACTTTTGTACATTCAGAGTTTTGACTGCAACGTGTATTTATTATAAACAAATTGTACGCGTGGAGAATATGAGTAGTGACGTGAGTATCTGGTCTGCAGGTGGTGTCGTGGGTGTTGTCGTCGGGAGTGATCTCGTACGCGCGGATGTGGGTGTACGGGTGGGCGCGGGGCGGGGGCGCGCGGGGCATGCGCCTGTGCGGCGCGCTCGGCCAGCTCGGCTCCGTGCTCGGCTCCGCCAGCACGTACTTCGTCGTCAACTACACCGGACTCTTCGTGCAACCAGACGCCTGCCCTGCCATCTCCTCGCTCACACATCTATAGCGACGCCTCACAAGCACACCGAGGAGTAGGCACGAGTGTACTTGTACTGGTACAAACACTCTTCACTAGTATTGTAATTATTCCAATGCATTGCGCGCGCAGTTCCAGATTACGTGCCACTGCTGAGGATCCAGAAATTAAACAATCCAAATAAGTATTTTGGTATCGTTCCTAAATGATCTCGTGCGTAGCAGTCGCACTGGATACCACAACACGGACGTGGCAGACTACTTAACATTAGTTTATAAGAATAATATTTAATATAGACTATTTATGTTGACGTTATTTTGTTGTTTCATTTGTCCTAAATGCATATTAAATTACACATGATACATATTAGGTAGAGGTCGCTCTCGAGCAAACAACACATTATGTATTACCAATACCTATTTACAGAACGGAGACTAACAGGTTTCTCTGTAATTCCTAGATAACAATACATTAAAAACATTATAATCAAATATAATGTCCATACGACTCAAAATATTTTTAAGTTGAAGGATTGACATTCGCACTCGTGGCGTACGAATTAAGTACAATATGCCTAACTAGCTTTTACCCGCGGCTTCGCTCGCGTCACAAAAGTATAAAAAGTAGCCTATGTGACATATACAAATACACACAGCGCCATCTATACTAATACTTTTGTTTTCCCTCGGGAATATCACATTTTTCCGGGATAAAAGTACCTTATTATTTAATCCGGACTTCTAAATTTACGTCTGTAAAAATTCAAAGCAATCGGTTTAGTAGTTACGGCGTGAAAGCGGAACAAACAAACAAACAAACTCATTTTCCGATTTATAATATTATTAGTAAGGATTGGAATGTGGTTTTGTAAATTGTACCCACGAGTTGACTATACATTAAATCTCTAAAAAGGGGTCTTAGGGATGCTCGTCGATGTCAAAAGCTTTCTTGAAATAATGATAACAAGAATAATTTATAACCGATGCAGTGTTTACATTCACACAATACAACGACAAACAAGCGCGGTTTTTGTCGTAGGAAATGACACTGATCAAGTGATTGCGTGTTGTTCGTATGCACAAATGGACATAGGACAAGAGCTAAAGAATCATTATTTATGTATGTTAAAAATGTCCGGACAAGTAGAGTACCTATCATCTGATCAGATGAGGTTTGTTGACCATTGTCATATACGACGAATAATATTGATTTCCTCCAATGTGCAGTGCAGAACAATCTACAGAAAGTTTTTAAAATTTCAATGACGTGATATTTCTTTTTGTTATTATTCTTTTAGTTATATAGGTAACTACATAATTTTTAAATCCTATGTAATCGTCTATTACTGCACCAAATAGTTCGTAGTCTTCATGCTACGAGAACTATCGTTCGTAGACGTACAGAAGTTTACTAACAAACAACATTATATCGGCGAAAACTGGGTACTTCAAACTCGACGAAATCAATGAGTGTTGTGTGTGTGTTTGTGAGTATAAACTCTAGAATTTCACACGGGAACATGATGTTTTCAGAACTTCTCGAAGAATAAAGAATAGTTATATTCTGATTTCCTAAACAGTTGTGTCTCTTCGTGTACTACTCATTCATAAGTCTCTGTTAGTACGTCATTATGTGTTTACAAAAGCGACTTATAAACTGCTTTGTAATAGTTAATACGTTTGATGAGCAGTTTTTACTCATTAGGGCGCATTATCTAATGCCCCGTAATAGTGCACAAAGATTGCTGCACAAACACCTGTTCAAAATGATTGGCTGCTCAATCAAGTATCAACATTAAGGGCAAGTTCATCTTTTTAGGAACATAGTTATAGTACCATTGTGTCTTCTGATGTTAATTAGGTTAATCTGTACATAATAATTATGGTGGGAAGGTGAAGGGGCAAAGTAGACATTACGTATCCACGAAAATAAGAAGGTTTCTCTCGATAGGGCACGATCCTGCTAATAACGAGTCAATATTCGCTTGTACTTCCTCAAAAGTAAACTTTCCAACAGTAAAAGAATTTGTCAGATCAGTCTAGTAGCTCGGAGCTTGGTCAACGCAGACACATAAACAATCTAATCTTTTTCTTTCTTTATAATAATTATAATATTTATTACATTTGGTATATCAGGTAAATGTAGTACCTATGGACAGATAATATTTATGAGGATGCTCTACGACGATACATTTTAATCTTAATGTTATTCCACTAATAGAAATGAATAGAATAATTATTTATTTGCTCAAAATGCAGGTATTTACAATAAGGTGTTATTTAAACAAACACTAATAAGATATACAAATAGTACCTAACTATTATTTACGACATTGTTCACCTTTAATACATAAATTATTTGCCCACCACACCTTTTTTCCAAACCTTCTTATTGTAGATTTCAAAAAATGAGAAAAAGAACTTCTTGTTCTCATTTCATTATAACCTGCATCAAATGTATGTTTGTCCACGACTACCTCGCTGTTAGCTGACCAGACTTTGATGCGACTTCAGAAAGGTATTTGTTACATTTAGGAAAATTTGTTTCGTTATCTACAAAATATAAGTTTTTTTAGTTATCGTAGCCAAGACACAGCTGTATGCGGCTGCATGATTTGCATCGTTTAATTATTATAAGTATCCATTAGGTACTGAATATCAAAATAAGAGTTACAACTGTACACCCAGATACTACGCCTTAACTCTGCTCAGTAAGTACCTACCTAGTTAATGTACAGATTCCACGGAGGTAGTGACGTCGCGTCAGTCGTACAACATGGAACTAATAAGTTTCATATTGAGCTACTTCATCACCAAGGACCTGTCTATAATGACTGCTTTCATCTGCTGGCCCTCTGGTAACTTCTATGTAGTTAATTGATGTTTGTTACTTACCCACCGTAGGTACCTACTGATTTATCAGAGTTTCTAAAGCTGTCAATTTATGGATGGCGCTAGGAAATTCTCTATTGAACAAATGGGACCTCACGCCATCTAAGTAATATATATATGTACCTAGATTACAATAAAAAATACGTAAATGGCTTTGGTAACAAGTAGTTCGTATATTTAGAGCAAGCACTAGAGCTGCAGCGTAGCGCACGTGTGGCGGGTGTGAGACTCACCGTGGTCTCCGAACTGAGGCACTCCGCTCCCATGACAACATCTGGCTACTTCAGGGAGGCCATGCTGCTGGACCTCAACTGTCCCGATACTCATTTTGTTCTTGAAAAGGTATTTATTTAGGTTATGCTAAATTGCTAAACATTGAAGTTTTAATGGAGCTAGGACATTGTAATAAAATTAATTAGAGTAAGATACAGATTAAAAAAACTTAAAAGTTCAATCTTAAGTGATGGCCTAATTCTATGAAAAGAGTTCAGAGAATGTCCTTCAGGCCTCCAGGTCTCGTGTGCTGAACAAGCGTCACTCATGGCTACTACTCCACAACTCATCAGCCGAGCCAGCGCTCGTGGAGGACACTTTGTATGCGTACGAGATTCTGCCCGACGCAGACGTGGTATGGTCCTCTCCGGACAGTCTGGTGGATGTTTATAAGACGAAACCGAATCAACCGCTGCTGCAGGTCGAGCTGGGGCTCAGCAGGAACAGTTCCCGCCACGAGCTGTTATCGCTTTGGGGCGCACTGCCCACTGCTGTGACTCGCAGGAGAGATCTCAGGAATGTCTCGCTCAAGGGCATTTCTGTAGTAAGTTAACTCTAAACCTATAATTATGCTGGCGATTGGTCACTTAATGTAGGCGATTTTTATATCAGATCATAAATTCATGAGATTAGTTCTCCCACCCTTGGTGAGCCAAGAGAGAGCGTCAGACTTTCTGACTACAAAACCGCCCCGTTCCTACTCCGCAGCCCCGAGCAAGAAGCATAATGTGATGACGTATTTGTATCTAGCAGATACCATACTATCGGCAGTATGTTTTACTTAGCAATTTCCAGTTGACACTGGGCCATGTAGGAGACAAGCGTTTAATATTCTTTGTAACATACCTACATATATGATTCAGATGTCGCTAGCTATGTGAATGCCCGCGTATAATATCGATTCACTATGCCGCGTATTTTTTTGTGATATGTGACGTAAAATGTTATGACAATCTAATTTATATTGCATAGTTGGCGTAGCGGCTGGGCAACCGGCTACCACGTAACGTTCGATTCCGCAAGGAATGGAAAAAAAGGAAGGAATGCAACTCTTTGTGTTATCCACAAATTGTTGTTTCGGGTCTGGGTATCTCGTGTTTGTGAAATTGTACCTATGTTTGTAAACGCACTCGCGGCCCTGGAAAAATAGTGTCAATAGGTCAAGCAAAAAAAATGGCTTAAAGTTTTCGGAATGTTTCATCTATGTGCGATACTTTAGAAAGGGTTACCTACTGAGTTTTGAGACAAAAAATGTAGGCCGCTTTCTATTCCAATTGACCTAATTACTTCTTACAATTTTAATTTTGGATGAGGAATGATAAAAGCAATTTTGTACAGTCAACAACAAATTCAAATTCAAATTCAAATTCATTTATTCAATTGTGAACATAGGTAACATTATGGTCTTAAATAACAATTTTAAACGCTATGTTGGCTTTTTCAACAAACCTTACGGAACACGCTCGAAAGTTTTCAGGAAATGTTCGAGAGTCTGGTATGTTTGAAAATGTTCGAGTATTCTCCGAAAGATTTCGAGCTTGGCTGAAGGGACCCGACTTTGATCCAAATCATTCTAGCGTTCTCCGAAAGATTTCGAGCGTGACCCAAGGGTCCCAGAATTGACCAACAACTTTCGATAATTCCTAGGAAGATTTCGAACATGGCCAAGGATCATGCTCTAACTAATACGTTTTACAGGTGACAGAACCAGATAATTTCAAGGGCTGGGCAGACCTGCGCAACCGGCAGATCGATACCTTCCCTAAGTTCACCTATCCGCTCATGATGCTACTTGCGCAGGACTTACACTTTCGGTAAACAATTCATATTACTGTACAGTTTTCTTTAACGACTTTAAACATAAAATCGCACTACACTAGGACAATCTATACAGTACTTAGTTGAGGGCAGTGTGGATTGAAGACTGCACAAGTATTTTGTCAGTAGGTTCGACCTGCGGCAGGTGGACTTCTATGGGGTGTCGCACAACGGATCATTCGACGGGCTGGTGGGCCACCTGCAGCGGCGGGAGGCGGAGGTGGGGCTCGCCTCGCTGTTTATGCGTCACGACCGCATGCAAGTCGCTGACTTCTTCTCCGAGACCTGTGTGCTCGCGTTAGTACTTAAATTGTTTACATTATCACCTTAGGC